GACTACTGATAGCCTGATGAAAAGAGAAAAGGTGTCAGTTAATGGGTGTTACATGTATAAATGCCAGGCTGAAGCGTGCAGCCATATATTGCTGTTTTGTCCAGCTGTTCAACATATCTGGTCTATGATTTATGGTCTTTTGGAGGTGAGCTGGATCAAGAATGATTCAGTGAGGGAGGAGATTTGAGTGTGGGAGGGGATACCCATAAAGGAAAAATTTATTAGTTTAATTCCTTTGACTGTCTTTTATATTATTTGGAAAGAGAGAACTATGAGGGCATTTGATGGTATTGATAGTGATATGGTTAAGATCAAAGATAGATGGTTTTATTTGTTTGGGTCATTATTGACAATACATGATTTGTATAGGGTGGAGGATTTTTGGATATATGATAGATTGCCTTACTAACATGTAATTAATTTTGTACATAGATTGCACTCTCTTGGTGCATTGTTAATAGATTTATACTTCTTATTTTTTTTAAAATGCCATATGCACATTACAAGAAATGGATGGATGCTTACATACTCTCCATGTTCAGGTGAAAAGGTTTTTATACAAAAAGATAATAGAATTTCATATTGTAAGATAGTTTTCTGTCAAATTGAGAGTTCTTGGAAAGGACAATAAAAATGTCATATTCTATTTGTGTCAAAATAAGTAGGCTTTATGAAGGTAAAAGAATTGTAATGTCCCGAAATCCTTCTATGGTTAGTATATGCTAGGAATTTTTTGATTAAATTCTTTTGTCATATTAAAAAGAATTACATCAAGATATTTGTTGCATTTGTTTCTCACAATTCATTCTTTGTAGTCAACTTCAGATGAACAATAATGTCGAGAGCAACAATAAAAAATAATCATCGTTGAACTATATGTACTAAGTGCAAACAAAGATCAACAGAAGATGTCTTATATCCAACAAAAACTTAAAAGAATTTAGGAGAATAACCTGAACATTATGAGTGCAAAGAATACGAGTCTTTTTCTCCATAAGAGGGCCTTGGATAGCATTATGCAAAACCCACCTGCCAACTTGTGCATCAACTGCGCTAAGTACATCATCAAGCATATATATATGGGAGTCATGATAAATCGCCCTGTCATATGTAAAATAATGCAACAAGCACTTTCATAAGAATAAATACTTCAAGTAAATCCAAAAACAAAGGTAGCTACGATGAGCATTAGAAAATGATGAACCTTGCCAAAGCAAGTCGAGCTCTCTGTCCGCCTGACAAATTGACTCCTTTTTCTCCAACATGGGCCATGTCACCTCCGGCCATTAAGGAAATATCAACATCCAAAGCACAAGCCTTTAAAGTATCTGAGTACCTATTCAAAATAATTAAAAATGATTCTATAACTGAAATGGTAAATAAACATTTCCTTTTGCATTTGAGTTCCACAAAGATTGAATGTACTCATTGGGAGATACAACTCATGGTAGAAACTACAGACCAAATGGTTATCCTGTTCTCATCTTGAGGAATTGACTCCAAGTCAGGTGATCAAGAACCAGTGTCGTATTCATCAAAATGGGTGGGATACTAAGGTGGGAGTAGACAAGACCCACCAGGACCCTCAAAAATTCAATTTTGTCATATACATTCTTCCTAACATTGCTATTTCATTTGAAAGTAAAGGAAGGCTTAAAAAAAATTGTGGGAGAAAACCTGGTCAAAAGAGTCCTCTCTACCTTATTTCCTTGGCTTTATAGCTTTTCTTCATGGCACAATATCATCCTACTGGTTCCATTGTCATTCAACAAGATCCTTTTATTACATGGAATTCCATTTTTTCACACATAAATGAAAGGGAGGCATCTAATTTGATGACCTTAATTACTTTGGTTAGGTTTTTCTATGCATCAAATAATTGTACCAACCAGACCTAGTCTTAGGAGTTTTTTATTTCATTCTCTTTCATTTTCACCTTTTGACTCGTAATCCTACCTCTTTTTTTATAAAAAAATATTTTATTTCTTACTCCAGAAGAAATATAATTCATAGTAGATCGCCTATTAATTGGTGAGCTGGCATAATCTACATAAATGTGTTCCAAGTACTACTTTAGTGTTCCTTTTGCCTTCACCAAGATTAGCCTTAAGGTAATATAGAATCTTGTTGATTGCATAAAGGTGAACCTCTCTCCGGCTATGCATAAATTGGCCAACCATGCTCACGGCATGCGCAATGTCTTACATGAGCATGGTTTGTATCAGCCATTGGTACGTTTCCCTATTTAGAGCTGGATCCTCATTTGCCTCTCCCAATTTGTGAGTGTTTTCAATTGGCATGGAGATATATTTACATGCTAGCTTTTTTTTTATCTCGTTTAAGAGATCAATCATATACTTTTGCTATGAAATAAAAAAGTTTTTTCATGAAACATGAATGATCTATTTCACTCATACAAATTACTTTAATCTTCCAAATTCTTTTCTTTCTGTAAGATTTGGGAAAAGAAATTCTGAATATTTACATACTTTCATTACATAGAGTTAGGGATATATATACATAGAAGAGGGATTCATATATGGAAACATTAATAATAGGAAATCAACTAATAATTACATAAGAATATTCCGTAAAAATATCTTTTCATGAGTGATCTACTTCATTCCTACAAAGTAATTTAGTCTTCCAAGTTCTTTTATCTTTGTAAGATTTGGAGAAAAAAATTCTAAATATTTATATACTTTCATTACATAAAGTTAGGGGTATATATACATAGAAGAGGGATTAATATATAGAAATATAAATCACTCTATTAATGCTAGGAAATCAACTAATAATTACATAAGAATATTCCGTAATATATTTTGTGATATTCTAACACTCTCCCTCAAATTGAAGCACAAATGTTAATCATGCCTAACTTGTTACGAAAATATTCAATTCGGATTCCATTCAAAACCTTTGTGAATATATCACCTAATCGTTCCTCTGTTTTTACATAACTGGTAGAAATCAAGTTCTCCTTAATCTTCTCACGAATGAAATGATAATCAACCTCAATGTGTTTAGTTCTTTCATGATACACCGAATTTGAGGCAACATAAAGAGTAGCTTGATTATCACATCAGAGTTTTGCAGGTAATATGAGATTCAAACTAACTTCCACTAAGAGGTGTTGTATTCATAAGACTTCACATATGCACTGGGGCATACCTCTGTATTCGGACTCTACACTGGATCGGGATACAATGGTCTGCTTCTTACTCCTCTATGTTACCCGTTTTTCACCAATGAAAACACAATAATCTATAGTGGATCTTCTATCAATTTTAGATTCAACCCAATTAGCATCTGCAAACATTCATGTAAGTATGCACATGATTGTTAAACAGCATACCAAGTCCTGGAGCACCTTTCAAGCAAACACAAAATCTATTCCAAAACCTCCTAATGTTTGACTGTAGGTGTAAACATAAATTGACTAACAATACTGACAGGATATACAATATCAGGACGAGTCACTGTGATATAATTCAGTTTTTCAACTAATATTTTGTACATTTCCGGATCATCAAGGGGGTCACTATCTTTAGTAAGGTGTATATTTGATACCATTGGAGTGTTACACGGTTTAGCTCCCAACTTTCCAGTTTATCCAAATAGATCAAGTACATATTTCCTTTGAGATAAGAAAATTACTTTCTTGTTTCTTGTTACTTCTACTCCCAAGAAATATTTTAACTGATCTAAGTTATTGGAGTGAAACTTGGTATGTAAAAATAATTTGAAAGAGAATATCCTATATAGTTATCACCTGTAATAATAATATCATCAACATACATAATAAGGAGTATAAGACTAGCTGTTGACTGTTTATAGAAGACCGAGTGATCACACTTGCTATTTTTCAGCCCGAATTCTAGAATTATTTCACTAAATTTGTCAAACCACGCACGAAAACTTTGTTTCAGCCCATAAAAAAATTTCTTTAAATGACAGACTTTTCCATACTCCCCTTTGAACAACAAATTCAAGTGGTTACTTCATATACACTTCTTGTAGAAGGTCGCCATGAAGGAATGCATTTTTGATATCTAATTGGTGTAAGGGCTAAATGTGAGATACTGCGATGGAGATAAATAAATGGACAGATTTATGTTTTGCCATTGAAGAGAAGGTATTAGAATAATCAACCCCATAAGTGTGAGTATAGCCTTTTGTTACAAGTCGGACTTTAAATTTTGCCATTGAACCATCTGCTTTTACTTTGACTGAAAAAACTCATTTGCACCCAACAACCCTTTTTATTTGGGTAAATCCACCAACTCCTAAGTATGATTTTTATCGAGAGCATTTATCTTGCCAAGCATTGCATTATGCCAAACAGAACTATTTACAACTTGTTTAACTGTCTTAGGTATGAAAATTGAGTTTATAGAAGCAATGAAAGAAGTAGACGAAGGAAACAGATGGTAATACGAAACATAGTTAGCAATGGGATAAACTGACTAAGAAATAGTGTACTAACGTTTACCTTTACGAAGACCAATGGGGAGACAAGATCCTGTGAGGTAGAATCAAATGACAATAGATCTAGTGCAGGGCATGTATCATGAGTCTGTTGTCTTCTGAAATAAACATAAACAATCAGTGGTGATATTTTAGTCAAGGGCATACTAACACTATCATTAACTTGCTCAAATGAGATTGGAGGCACATCATCTAGAGAAATACCATTATCTGTTTGTTCAACAGAGGCACCTAGTGTGAAATTATAAATGATCTACTCATTGTCCACCCCCTAACTTATAAATTTGGACAATGAAGAGAAGAACGGTATATTCTTTTAAAAAACTATATCAGTTGATACTAAATATTTATTAAGATCAGGAAAGTAACACCAATATCCTTTCTAAATGTGAGAATATTTCAAAAATACATATTTTAGGACATTTAAATCTAATTTTGTCATACTAGGTCACATATCTCGTACATAACAGGTGCTACCAAATATCTTAAATTGTATCGGAAACAAAAACTTGTTTGGAAAAAAAAGACTGTAAGAAATATTTCCATCAAGTACTGTAGATGACATACGATTAATCAAGAAACATGCTGTGAAAACAGCATCAGCGCAGAATTACTTAGATACTTGCATTTGGAACAAGAGGACTGGACTTGTCTCAAGTAAATGTCTGTTCTTTCTTTCAGCGTTTTCTTTTTGAGATAGTGCACCAACACACGAGAATTGGTGAAAGATCCCGTATTGAATCATATAGTTTTGAAATGAGTCTGACATATATTTCTTCGTACTATCACTTTTCAATATATGCACAGAAATATTGAATTGTGTCTTGATTTTAGCACAAAAAACATAAAAATGAGAAAATACTTCAGAACAATGTCAAGAACTTATTTATGATAAAATAAAGGAAGGATAAATTAGGAAATTCACACAAAAAGACAAAATAATAAGAAAACTAGAGTTAGAGTTTGTTAATCCTGATAAGCTCATCAATCCAGCAGCCGATGCCTCAACCATCCTCATCTCATCTTGCTGCGGACGCTGTGCTCACTACACCGCATAATTTCGACAAATTGATTCTGCCAACAACAATGTTCCCTTTATTGCATTTATGCCTACAAATGGCCATCTTCCACCGTTTGTAAAGGCAATGGAAATTAATCAATAAAAATATTTTGTTTTCCTTCTCTTCAATATTCTTCATTTTCTTCTCTGTTTTTCTTTTTCTTCCCTATTTTCTCTTCAGATCAGACCCATGTCTAAGGTGTCTGACAAGGTAGTATTAGAGCTCGAACTGGTAGAATCCTATGCTGGGGTCGCACCCTGCACTCGGTCCAAAGGGAAGGCAACGGCGGTTGAGCCGGAGAAACCCGAAAGGACCAAATTCTCCGTGAAAGACGTCAATCGAAACTTCATCTCCTTAATGGAAGAAATGTATGAGATGAAGCGCCAATTTCAGCATCAGTTCGAGTACCTGGTAGAGCTAATACGCGGTCAAGCGTCGCACTAGGAGAAACCTAGAAAATTCTTAGCACATTTGATGACCGAAAACCCACGAGGCAGAAGATCCACTTCTCCTTTCGAGTAGCACGAATAGATTGGGGACTCCAACACCCTTGGAAAACCAGCCGAAGCCGATGGATTTGTGTAGAGAGGGAGGTCTGCTTCCTCCCTTGAGCGGCAGCCATCTCCCTGCTGCTCCTCCGAATGGCACGCACA